ATTTCTTGCCTTGTTGTTGAAGAGAGCATGGTAATGGAGGAACTATATGGAGTGGCATTTTACTGGGAAAGGGGCAGTTAGAAGTGGACGGGAGTCAGTTACATCCAGAGTCTTTGAAAAATCGAAACTGATGTTGATTTCAAGGCCCCGGACTCTTTCCAGTGGCCGTTACCTTCCTCTGGGATGCTTCCATCCATTGGTAACTCTCAGCCTTTTGCTAAGGCTCAGTCATTGTGCTTGAATGTGACTTGAATGTGAACATATAGTGTGTGATTTTATGTTAGAGATTAAACTAAGAATATACATATATATATATATATATAATATACACTCTATTAGATACTTTTCTCTTTTTTGCTTCAGAAGAACTCTGTATGCTGAACTTTATTAATGTTCTCATTTTAGAGACAAAAACCTAAAAAAAAAAATAAAGAGGTGCACAGTTTTCTCAAGGCCACACATTTAAGGGAGTGCAGAAATCAGAAATGAAAACCGAGCCTCTCTAGTTTATCAATTCATGCATTAAACTGATGCCCCTCTTCTGGCCCACACAATATGAAATAACCAAGCATGATGAAAACCCAAATACATGAGTGAAAACAAGATTGCTTCTCTTTCCCCTTACATGCAAACACCAGCACCAGCAAATGTTTCTGAGATATACATTTATTTGGAAGAACACAGATTGAGAGAACTTGGTAGTACTGCATCTGGGGTGAATCTGACAGCGCTTCTTAGAAACGTTCATATTCTGTAAGAGAAATATAAAACAATGTATAAGTAAGATGTTATGTTGGGCTAGTGAGATGGCTTAGGAGGCAAAGGGGCATGCCACCGAGACTGACCATCTGAATTTGATCCCTGGGACCCAGAGGACAAAGGGATAAGGCCAACTCCCACGATTGTCTTTTGACCTCTATATGCATGTTACAGCTTATATGCCACCCTACTCAGCAAATAAAATGTAGGATTTTTTTTTACAAGGATTAGCTATTGTTTGTAAAATCCCAATAAGAAAAGTGGTGCTGAACGCAGCCAGCATCTGGAAGCTAAGTTGCTGTGTCCATGATGTTCTGTGGCTGACAGAATATTTATTCTCAGAGGTAACTCTTGTAAATTGCATTTTGCCCCTTCAGTTGTGGTGAGCTTATGATGGAGAGGGGGTGGAGAGGACAACCTGGAATTCAGGATGCTTGGGAAGCTGGTTGCCTAGGAAACGGAGAGGAGCAGCAGAATGCCCACCAAAACCACCTGTCAACAAGAGGGGATTTTTTTCTGTTCTGATCCAAGTTGTTTTTCTAATTTATTCCCTGGGTCTCCTGTGGTATCCAATTAGGACTATTTACCCTCAATAGCATTTTGTGCCAAATCGAGCCACATTATCTAGGAGAGGGTACAAAACTATTCATAAGCATCGTGTCAACTAAATATTTGGAAGGAAGATGATAGTACAGTTAAAAGGGGTTTATAAAGTTGTAATAAATATGAGAATATTTTAAATATTTATCATAAAGTATTTAAATTTTTTAAATGCTGTTTCTATGTGTACATGATGTGTATGCATGGGTGCGTGTACAGACATGTGTACCCATACTTACACACGCAGAGGTTGGAGGAAGATATAAGCTGTTTTCTTTTTTTTTAAATTTAATTTAAAAAAAAGAGAAAACAATCCTCTTTCATTTTACATACCAACCCCAGTTCCCACTCTCTCCCCTCCTCCATTCCCTTCACCTTCCCCCCCCCACCCACCCCTTCTGCTCCTCAGAGAGGGTAAGGCACATTGCCTTGGGGAAGGTCCAAGGCCCTCCCTACTGTGTCTAGACTATCCAAAGAGAATGGGTTCCAAAAAGCCAGTACAAGCAGTAGGATTAAATCCTGGTGCCACTCCAAGTGGCCCCTCAACCTTCCCCAGCCATACAACTGTCACCCACATTCAGAGGATCTAGTTTGGTCCTATGCTGGTTCCTTCCCTGTCAGGTCAGAGTTGGTGAGCTCCCATTAGCTCAGGTAGTCTGTTTCAGTGGGTGTCCCCATTATGGTCTTGACCTCTTTACTCATATTCTCACTCTTCCCACTCTTCTACTGAATTTTGGGATCTCAGTCCAGTGCTCCTCTGTGGGTCTCTGCCTCTGTTTCCATCAGTTGCTGGAGAAAGATTCTATGTTGACATTTAAGATAGTCATCAATCTGACTACAGGGCAAGGCCAATTCGGGCACCCTCCCCACTATTGCTTAGGGTCTTAGCTGGGATCACCCTTGGGGATTTCTGGGAATTCTTCTAGTGCCAGGTTTCTCGCTAGCCCCAGAATGGCTCCCTCAATCAAAATATCCCTTTTCTTGCTCTCCGTCTCTGTCCTTCCCCCATCTCGACTATCCCGTTCCCTCAAGTTTTCCTCCCCTCTCCTCTTGTAAGCTGTTTTCTTCTAACTCCCTCCACCATATTCATTGAGCCTTAAACTCACCCTTGAAGGTGGGCTGGCTGAACCTAGAGTTCCCAAGATCCACCCATCTCTGCCCTCCAATACTTAAAGTACAGGCAGGAATGCAGCCACACCTGACTTTGATTCAAGTTGTCTGGCTTGCACAGTGAGCACTCTTGGCAACTGAACCATCTTTTCCAGCCGCACATAAAGGCAACTCTTGATCATAACTTAGCTGTGCCTAAATTTATGGTCACAACACTTACTTCTGTTTCTAACACGGAAGTTTCATTTGCCGTTACCCACTTTTCTCTGCTCTTACTCTACTTACAAGAGATACTTTGGTGTACAGTAATTATCTTCAAGAATAACACTTAGAAACTCATAAATACTTGATGAAAATGGTATCTAATTTCTCAATACTTTAAAAATATAGACATTTAATTTTTAATTTTAAATATATTATCTATGCCCATACATATTTTATAGCTATGCATATTTAATAAGATCCCAACATATGAAATTTCAGTACCGAGCCTAAGACCAGGGTAATTTCTTTTAGTTAAATTTATAATTAGATGGAATCAATCCATATTTTCTCGTCTTATTTTGTTTGAGTGCCCCGTTCCTGCTTTTCTCATCTCCGCTTCACCGCATTTTCTACCGTCACTACCTCCTGCCCCTGCTCTTTACCCATGGGCAACCCACGTGGCAAGGTATGTGACCTCTGTACTCACAGAGCCATGAACACCTACAAATATGCCTGCACATCCATGTATTCTAATAACAAAGCATATGGAACAGTCTCAAACTCACGGGTTGCTCCTTTCTGTTGACTTCTACAGCCCACGTATTCCAGTGTCAGTGATCCTTCCTTCCTCTCGTCCTTAGTGAATTTCTGCTTGATTTCTATTTGCTTCCCTGTCTTTTCCACACTCGTCCTTCTAGGTTTGATTTCTCTCCTCTGTGCCAGAAACTGTACACCAATGATCCATGCCGCAGAGGAGAGTCTGGTGTCATCCAGATGGATTAGTGACCGCTTTCTGCTGTTTCCTAATTTGTCTCTACAGACAAACTTGATAGTTTTCTCAGGTAACTTAGGGTACGTGAGAAGGAAAATACTTTGGTTTTTATTCTACCGACATTAGCTTCTGAGATATATGCCATCTCCAACAAGGGCAGATTGCCTCCCTGGAGCTATTTTTTTTTTTTTTTTTACCCTTCACTGTCAGAGTAAAGTTAATAGTCAGACAATAGTGTTCTATACAGAGCCTGTAGAATTAATATTATGAATGAGAATATTTGAAGTCTTGTGGTTTGCCGGATGCGTGGCTCCCCACAGACTAGGGAGGTTTCTTTCTCATGGTCGACTCCCAGTGCCACCAACATCCTACTCTCCTCGTAAAGGAGAACATTGATCCTATCAGAGCGTAGAGAGTGATCTGTGCTCAACCAAATGGCATACTCCCATCACCCTAGGCTTTGAGGCTATTCTGGAGTCAAAGCCCTTTGACTTTCCAGCAGATGGAATAAAAAGGGATGGACAGCCCCAAGGACTCAGTGGTTTGGGGCCCTTTCTTCTCTGCTCTGCCTCAGTTTCCCCCACTAAGTCTTTATAGATCATTGGTCTGTATTCAAATGACTGCTGTTGCAGCAGGCTCTTGATTCTGATCATCGGTGGAAAGAAAAGTAGTTTGCAATTAAACAATTTGTTAATCCTTGGAATTTTGTGACTTCTTCTTTTGGGAGCAACGCAGAAGGCTCCATTCCTAACCAACTGTGACTGCTGTGACAGACGGCGCTGCCTGGCTGGGTTTTCCCCACCCAGCTGAGGGCGGGACAGCCAAGGAAGATGTGCTTTATTGTGAAGGGTGTTATTTACCTAGCAGGGAGCTTGTCAAGGAGTTTCAAAGATGCCATATCCAGAAAGGTTCAGATCTTAGACCTCGGTGACTAATGACCTTTGCTCCCCATTTCAGGAGGAAAATTCTGAAATGGTCCTAAAAGAGGAGAGGTAAAATCCTGGCAGCCGTTTATAGGTGGTCTCTGAACTAACCCCCAGGAGACATGCTTGTGAGGAGAAACCAAGCAAAAAGAAAATAAAATGAGGCTAATGTAGAGAAGACAGCAGGGTGTTTATTTGCAGCTCATTCAGGCGTGCTCTGAAGGTCAGTGAGCTACAACAGCATTACCAGGTAATCCCTGAGCAGCTCCACCCCTTAGAAAGCCCAGCAAGACCACACATTATATGCATCTGTACACACACACATGCACACACGCACGCACGCGCAAGCACACATGCAAGCACTCATACACATGCACCCAGACATCTTATGGTTCCACCTTCAAGGCTCCCAGAAAAACAGTTTCTGTGGCTGATGGATGGAGTCCAGGTGATCTTCGAAGAAGATTAATTGTCACAGACCTACTAACAACACTGATATAGGAGGCCTGTGAATGCAATAGTGAAAGCTTCTTCCCCTCCTATTGCGTGAATATAGGAATCCCAGGGCTCCTTTGCTTCCAAACTGGACAGTGAATCAAGCAGCAACAGCAACAGCTCCTGTTCTGGATGCCATGGAGTTTCTCGAGAGAACTTCCCTTGTGAATGACCAAGCTACTAAGATGTACACCTTCCCTCTAAACAGGTAACAAGATACTCATGGTTGTGTTGTCATTTCTGTGGCTGGAGCACACAACAAGCTAACATATATTATTACTTTAGAATGGTACACTCCCGCTTTACAAATTGGGATCATTTTGGAGCATCTCGGAAGAGTTGTCCGATTTGTATGATTCATACTCTGAAACATACTGTAGTCTATATAGTTGTTTCGATTGCTTAAATATTATAAGTTCATAAGAGAAACAGTCATTCAGGCATTTTTATTCGTTTGTTTTTGTTACAGAAAGCATGCAAGAGCAATCTAATTGTTTACTGTTGTTTTATTCAAATTTTCCTATTTTTAAGTTAAAGAGTAAACTGTCAAAATTATATTTAGGAAAAAATAATACTTTTCAATGATGGCTCAAAACCAGAGTTACATGTATCTTAAGATTAACTAATGAATGGATTATTTTTTATCAGGTAGATGTACCTGTAATTAATGTAGCTAGATTTAATGTTTCCATAGTTCCAGTTTTTTTTTAGGTCTTCAATGGTGGCATGTGTAATATATTCTTTGATTTTTATTTAAAGCAATTATTGACTTAGCATATCTATCTTATGTGCTGTATATATGATTGAAAAGAAAAATCTTTCTAGTCCTAGATGTCTGCTTATTTAAAACAAAAAGGCTAATATGAATTGTGAATGGGAATGATTACAGAATAGGTACAGAATAATGCTAGAGACATTTAATGAGACTTTTAGGAGAAAACATTAAGAGAAGCTATGGTTTACCTGGGCTTGAGGATGAGAACAAAAATTCATCCCAGAAATGATAGAGTAAGAACTCAACAAAGCAAAATAGAATCACAACAGATTTAAGGGAAATCTATATAGACAGTGAGGAAATGGGTGTAAGGATGTAGCTCGGAGACAGAGTGTGTGTCTAGCCGAAGGCCCTGGGTTCAATTCTAAGTCCTGAAAAAACAAAATAAAAGAAGAGGTAAGAAAAATTTGATTATAATAAGACCATTGCAAAATAAGTAAAGATGTATGTATCCCTTGTAAAGAAAGACATACGTCAGAAAAAGAACTAGGTATATATGGGGAGATCATGCCAATGAGGAGTTAAGAGGCTAAGCAAAAACTTGAAATAGACTCAGGTAGAGCATATTTTAAGAGAAAATGTACTTATTAAAACTATATGTAATATTTTCATTTATTTTGTAGAACCAAATTCATAATCTAAAAATAATGTTATATTTGATCACATCACATATATTAAAATTGCAAAGAGAACTTTCCCTAAGGAGTCTCTAAAACTTAGTTTTACAAATGAATGGCATACATCATGGACATTCATTATCAAATATTAAAAAATAATTTTCTTAGAAATTTTGAGGTGCCAATTATTGATCTCATAAGTACTGAAAAGCAAAGCCTCATATGAACTCAGGTAGAAACACTGGACAGCATGTTGTTGGCCCTAGGAATGCCTCTATATTATTGAAATAACAATAATTCCTATTAAAATTGATTATTAGGATTCTGTAATACAAGCAGTCAACAGTTTATAGTAATGGTCTTGTTTACCTCATAGGGTGAATGAGGTATGGCTTTCAAGCCATAGTACTTCTAAGAGCCATAAAATCAGTGTTGTCTTTTCAAATATAAAGATTAAATCTTGAACAGATTTTTTTTTAAAAAAAAATCCTGATTTTTTAAAAAAAAATCCTGAAGAAAATGAATGTCAAAAAGAGAGCACACCTTTGTAAGGTCGGATGGCCGAGTTGAAAGTTGACCTTGTTGGTCAGTTTAATGTCTTCACCTCTCCTGCACCTACACTCTGGATGGTCTCAGCACCTAGTCTAACTGCTCCCAGGACAGTCTGTATCTTTGCAGATCTTTTAGACCTTCCCCACTTCTTCCAGCCCCCTTTCTCATGCATTTTCTTTCATTTCTGAGCCTTCCCTCTTAGCAATCTTTTTCTCCTCCCTCCCTGAGGCGTTCTCTTACCCATCATGAGCTCCCTATTTAAACTGTTATGTGCTGTTGAGATACTTAATCTTGAAAGAAGCCTTGTCGAATTCCACAGAGGCATTGTTTCCAACAGCTGCTGGTTTGCAAAGAACTAATCCCAGAGCTGGTGACTTATCGCACACAGTTCTATGAGTGAAAACTTAGGCATGGCTTTCTCCTGGTTTGCTCAAGAGCCTGTTTCCTTCTGGTGTCTGGAGTAGGAGATCCAAGTTGCCTTTCCTCACATGCCTGGGGTCTTCATGTTGATGTTTGGCTAGAGTCTTTGTTATTTTTCTCTATGTTTGCATCAGCCTGAGATATTTTGAAATGGAAGTTCAGGACAGAAAAAGTACAAGACTGGAAGCTGGCAGCTGTCACATCGCTCAAGCTCACAGTAGCATCACTGTTCCCACGTTAACAGGCTATATCAAACCTCAAGGCCAGATTTTAACATGACAAGCATTGCTGGGTGCCATCTTTGTACATACTTCAGCATAAGAAAAAGGCATACTGAGTTCTGTGTGTGCCATGTTCACTAGGGTGTACCCTCTCCTTCTGCGATTCTTGATCCATTGCTAAGAAGTGCAGTGGAGCTGGGCGGTGGTGGCACGTGCCTTTGATACCAGCGCTTGGGAGGCAGAGGAGGCGAATCTCTGACTTCCTGGAAAACCAGGACTACACAGAGAAACCCTGTCTCAAAACCAAACCCAAACCCAAAAGAAAGGCAGTGGAAGCAAGATAAGGTGCTAGAATCTTTTCAACAGTGTGTGTGTGTGTGTGTGTGTTTGTGTGTGTGTGTGTGTGTGTGTGTGTGTGTGTGTGTGTGGTGTACTGCTGTGTGTGAATGCAAATGCGGAGGACATCCCTCACGTGATTCCCACCCTTTTCACTGGCCTGCAACTTGTTACGTAGGTTAGGCTGGCTGGTCACATCCATTTGTTTCTGCTTATCCAGTGTTGAGATTACAAGCACGTGCCACACAATTGGCTTTATATATTGTTTCTGAGGATCAAACTGAGGCCCTTCTCCTTGCCAGGCGGGCGCTTTACTGACTGAGCTATCTCTCCCGTGCTTAGCAAACACTTAACTGGCAAGTTTTATGTGTTCGCTCTCTCTGGAGTTGTCCTAAGGGCACACGCAGACAACCAAGAGCAAAATGTTCACAAAACTTACTGAGTCTCAGTAAGGAGTGAGAAATTGCCTGTTTCCAGCAGAACAACATTGATGAAAACAATAGAGGGTTTTTTCTTATTTCTGTGAGAAATGAAGCCTGGCCCTGATGCTTCTGGAGAGCAATAAAGTAGTGAAAGGGCAGCTAAAGCTGAGCAGCAGCGGCCGGGGATGTCAGATGCGTAAACCCTTCTGGAGCGGATGCTGACCGCGGACGGGCATCACACAGTAACCCCGCCGAGGGTGTGTGATGAGTTGGATGTCTGGATTCCCCACGCTCCAAATTCATGTTTTCGCCCTTGACAGCCCAGTGTGGGTTTCTTAAAAATACATGACTTCTAAGGATGTAACCAAGTTTAAAGGTCGTTACAGGAAGGGGTGCTTTATATGACAAGCCATAAGAGCTCGTTTTCTCTATTTTTGTGTGAGCAACTAGGAAAAGCCACGAGAGGATATATGAAGACAGCCATGATTAAGCCAAGAAGAATGTGACTGGTGTCGATATTTACTAGCAAACTGACCATGAAGGTCTAAGCCCCAGACCTGTGGGAAGATACACTTCTGTTGTGTTAAGTTATCCATACTGTCAGGCATTCCTGCAGCTCAAGCTGAATAACAGAAACCCCAAATTTAACGGAACCGCCTACATCGTGGAGTAATTTATATCTTAGAGCAGTTTTGAAAGCAGCAGAGTAATTGGGAGTCAATTAAAGAGCCCAAACTCTGGGTGAGAAACTAGCAGAGGCAGAACACCCTTAGGCTTAATAGTGAGGATGTGGAAAGAGATGAATAAAGAAAGGGCAATTAAAAGGACCACCATACTTGGAAGGTGGGGAGGGGGTGAAGATACACATGTGCAAAGATGGGGCTCCTCAAGGAACACAGGGGATTCACGGGCATGGGAAACCGGAGGAAATGGTTGCTGCTGAACCACATAAGCCAAGTCACCAAATGAGAAATAATAATACTAGTAATTAAAAAACTAAAAAAAATCCACATAGGATCAGTATCTAGCATCATGACAATATACATTCTAAATATTTTGACTTTCACCAAAATCACAAGGCACAAAGAAACAGGGAAAAATGTACAAATAGTAAAAAAAAAATCCCTTAATAGGAAGTGCCTTTAAAAGATTCTAAATGTTGGCCTTAAAGTTCTAATGTTTTAATAGCAGCTACTATTATATATCAAAAGAACAAGCTGTAATTATATTTACAGAATTAATGAGAGACTGGATGGCAATCCACAAATAGAAGATACTAATACAGAAATAGAAATTGTAACATCAAAATGTAACTTGTAGGGTGGAAAGGACTAATAAGTAAAATAAAAGAAATCACTCAAAGGACCTAATAACAGATCCTTGATATTGACTTAGCTGACAGAACAAAAATTCAGTGTTCTCGAACTGAATAAATAAAGCAATAATTATGTACTTACTGCAATGAAAGTAAGGAAAAAAGGGGAATGAACAGGACAGTAGAGAATTGTGGCACATAGCCAAATTCACTAATTTGGTGATAGTAGTATGAGAGAGTGAGAGAGAGAGAGAGAGAGAGAGAGAGAGAGAGAGAGAGAAATAAATGCAAATGTCTTTAAGCAATGCCCCTTCAAAATTTGGTGTATATTCATTGGTATTTCCTTTGTACTTAGTTGTTGGGAGGCCTTGATGGTCAGAGGTGACAGTCTGTCAAGGCCTGGCAGCTCTCTACAAAGCTTGGCAACAGAGGGACTCCCTTCCCAGCAAAACTTACTACATTCTACCTTACCTATCTGGAGAATGTCTCTAAGCCCGAAAGAATGACCTTATTTGAAAGCTGTCCCAGGGGCTGGAGGCCTGACTTATCTCTAGCATGACCTTTGCTTGGCACAGTTTCCTGTTAGAAGCCCCTCCCCCATTCACAGTGACAAAGACCTGTACTACAAGCTTTACTATAGTACCCTACTGCCACATACAAAGCCTTACGATAGAAGTCTGCCACTTAATGCAAATTACGGTTTGTCCCCAGGCTCCCCAGTCCTGTATATTTCCTATACTTTGGAATGAAGTTGAGCTGCTTCACTGACATCTTATCCTAGAGAGCTGTCTCCATCATATCCACGGGCATCCAAACTGTGTCCCCAACTTTTGCTCTCCCCACCCTCGTGGACCAGTGGTCAGTGATCCTGAGGGAAGAAGGAGACCCACACTTAGTGAAGTATAAGAAGAAGCAAGCCAGAGGGGCGTGGTGGTGCACACCTTTAATGCCAGCACTTGGGAGGCAGAAGGAGGTGGATTTCTATGAGTTTGAGGCCAGCCTGGTCTACATAGTAAGTTCTGGGACACCTAGGGCTACATAGCGAGACCCTGTCTCAAAAAAAAAAAAACCCAAAATGAATTAACTAATGAAAAAAGAAGACACAAGCAATCAGATTTATAACCTGACATTTCAGACTAAAATACTTATTTGACTTTTGTGTGTGCCTATGTGTGTGCATGTACACACATGCACGCACACATGTACACTTGAGTGTACATAACTGGAGAGGTCAGAAGAGGGTACTGAGGTCCTCTGGGACTGGAATTACAGGTAGTTGGGAGCTGACTGACTTGGTAGGTAGTTGTGAGTCCTCATGTATGTTCTCAGAACTGTAACCCAGTTCTTCTGCCAAAGTGCTAAGCACTCACACCCTGAACCATCTCTTCAGTCCCAAAGAGAATCTCCTGTCGACCCTAAGATGGAGTGTAATAATTATGAAGAAAGTCTGACAGTATTCCAGACCAGGTCGAAGATAACAATGCCCAGGTTCGCCGCTTCCAGTCAGCATTGCACTGTGTATTCTCGCCAGAACTTTGATGCAAGAAAACAAAACGAGAGGCATCAGGTTAGAAAGGAAAACCGAAAACTCTATTTGCAAATGATAACATATTTTACATATAAAAATGTCAAAGAATACACTGACAAACTTTGGATCTAGTAAGTTCTGTAAAGCCGTAGTAAACAATAAATAATAAAAGTAATTGTATTTTTGTATAGGAATAGCAAGAGCACTAAATATTCACAGGCTGAATAATTAATCTGTGTATATTTCTGACACCATACTAAAAAAAAACTTCACTAAAATGGATCATAGGCATTAAGGTAGGTGCTAACATTATGCAGTTATAAATCTTCTAAAAGAAAACGCAGGCATAAACCATGAATTTTGGATTAGGCATACCTTTTTGATAAGGTACTTAAGGCAGAAATGTTAAAATTGTATAAATTAAAAGGCCAAAAGTAAACATGTTGTTTTTCACACAATAGTATAGAGACAATACCCGCACTGCGCCAAGTTGGTGTGTGTATGTGTAGAATTTGTTTTCTTCTCAGCTCTAGGAGTCAGCGTGGTTGGTTTTAGGCAGCTAAATGTAGTGAGGTCTGAGCTAATAGCCCTCTGGATATAGTAAGCAGGTCTTATTTGACACAATTGGTTTACCTCCAGACTCTTGGGGGCAGTTTTGAGAAAGAATATTATATTAGTTTTCTCATTTCCGTGACAAACACCCAACAGAAGCAACTTAAGGGAGGAAAGATTTAGCTGTGGAAAAGGTTTCCCGAGCTTTCAGTCTACCGTGACATGGTAAAGTAGCTCCCTTGTGATGGGAGCCTGCACCTGGGGCTCTCATAATTTTACCAGAAGCACAGAGGAGACCAAAATCAAGGAGTGGTTACAAAACTCATAGGTTGGTCCTAGAGCCCACGTATGCAGTCAGCTCCCATACTTGAAACCTCCGAAACAGTTGCGGAGGCTGGAGATCAAGAGTTGAAACTCATGAGCTCATGGTGGGGGGCATGACAGATAACTTCTCCACTTGCACAATGAAAACGCAGGAATATAGCTGATAAACTCTGACAACCCTTCCAGGCCAGGAAGAAAACCATTCTGAGTATCAGAAATGGCCAAGAAGGAAAGAAACGGCTCTGGGGCCCTGTGCAGGCAGCTTTATGCCTGGGTTCCTCTAGGTGTTTTCAGTAGCAGAACCAATAATTTTCATGCATTAACTTTTCCACACGATTTTTGTTTTCTGTACATACTTCATGCCATTCTAGCTAATATTGATTCCCACTGTATAAAATATCTATTCATGTGTTATAACACTCTCTAGTAAGATATCAGTAATTGTATTTTGGGGGTATGATTACCAGTGATTTTTTTTCTTTGCTTTGTCCTCTTTTTTATAATTCCACATTTTCTATAATGATATGTAAATTCTATTTTCAGAAAAATTCAAATATGACCATAATTAGAGTGATCCTAATACTTACTAGACAAGCCCAGATCATCAAACTTTTAATTCCAGATGGTGATAATCCAAATGAAATAAGCCCTCAAATAAAAGCTAATTTAAAATTTTTAACTTTTAGAGCTCTAATTGTAAAGGCCTCAGTTCTGAGAACCCAATTAGTGTTTTCAAATAAAATTATGAATTTAAAAATCCTATTAGTTCAAGAGCCATAGACGTTGTCATGTGTACCAGCAGGTTAGGTACACTGATATTGAGACAGCAGCTAGTCTGTGGAGGGAGAACAGTGGGGTTTCGTCGTCTTGTTTCGGCATATTTGACCTTAGAGAGTCACATTGCCTCTATGAAACTCACTTACCCCACCTAAGAAACTATACATTTGAGTTAAATTTTATCAAAAGCCCCCCCCATCTATGATTCCAGGGGAGTCCCTAAATTAAGCTTTGTGTTGGAGCAGGAGCAATAGTTACTGTTTTGGGAAGCAGAAGAAGGATCTAGTTTTCACCATGGCAGTGGGTATTTAGTAGAGGTAAAGAATGGTGAGGTGTCTGAGGGTCCCCAGGCCCCTCAATACTGAACAGGTATTGCGGCCTACTGATGCCTATTTGCTTATGCCTTACAATCTAACCTGATGATGGTGGTGGCACGATCTGTCCATATGCAGAATCTTTTTCATAATGAAACAATCAGAGCCCATTTTCTACGATGGGATGTAATGTTCAGTCTTAATGCAGCGGGGAGGGGCTTGATCCTGCCCCAACTTAATGTGACAGACTTTGTTGACTCCTCATGAGAGTTCCTATCCGTTGGGAGGAGTGGATGGAAGGTGAGTTGGGAGGGGAAGGCAAAGGGGGTCAGGAGGAGGGGTCAAGGGAGACCTGTGACTGGAATGTAAAATGAAATTAAAAAAACAAAGAAAGACTGGCCCTTAAGTATTTCTGTTTCTTTCCTTTTGTTTCCTTCTGTTCCCTTAGCTCCACAAAAGTAGTGGCTGAGAGCAGTTGTGAACCCAGAAGGAAATGTAAGGAGAACTCTGAATTATAACTCCTTTGCTAGTCTGCCAGTGTCCTTAGAGCCACGTTGAGAGTGAGTAGGGCTGTCAGGGAGGTGCGTGCTTGCTACCGTGTTCACCTCTTGCTCCTGTCAAAATCATCCTCAGCAGAGAACTTCCACAGAAACCTGTGAATAAAGATCGGTGTCCTGGAGACAGGCCAGAGCAGCCAGAGGCGGAAGGCATCTATCACTGCCACAGCAACGCCAAGGCCACAGAGAACGGGTTGAGCAAGCAAGTGCATGCCAAGAGGAGACTCTGGGCTGCTTCAGCAATATGCTTCATCTTCATGGTGGCAGAGGTGGTCGGTGAGTACCACTCAGGAAAACTCGGGCAGGACCCTGCATCGTGACGGGAAGGACAACTAAGTTGTTCTTGAAGAGAAATAGTTAATATTTTCAGCATGTATAGAATGACAGTAGGTCCATAGTAGTCGAGCTGCAAAATAGAAGAAAAACAATATTCATTATTATGCCACATTCAAATGATCACCTCTTATAATACCACAGGTATTTCCTATAGTTCATCTGTGCATAGCTCTTGGGGTTTTTTGTTTGTTTGTTTGTTTACATAACTGGGACCAGGCTGAATGTTCTTGTCCATCCTCTTAAACACTGTTTAAAAATATGTTTATTCCCAAACAATACATTCCACTCTAATTCACATTTCTCTCTTGATAGAAATTTGGGGAGATTCTTCCTGCTTCTGAACTGTACAATGAAGAAAATCTTAATAAAATTCTGCCTACTCTTCTAGTTAATCCCTTGAAAGGGATTCTAAAAATGGAAATAATGGATTGAAAGACATGGATATTTTTTCTTAATCTTGAATCATTTTGTCAAACCTATATTCAGACACTTGAAATGATTCACCAGTATGGAAGCCCGTAATGAAAATGATTTTCCTTCCAACTCCTCAAAAATCTTTGCTGGGACTAGAGGGATAGTTCCACGATTAAAAGCAATCCTGTTCCCTCTGCTACCCGTCACACTGCTACTGACATCTTAGGTGCTTCCTTTCTATCCTGTGTTACAGGGGACGGCTTGTTCATCCTGGCCGCCCGGCTAGCTTAGCCTTAAAATAACCACACAGAAACTGTATTAATTAAATCACTGCTTGGCTCATTAGTTCTAGCTTTTCATTGGCTAACTCTTACATCTTAATTTAACCGATTTCTATTAATCTGTGTATCGTCATGTGGCAGTGGCTTACTGGGTAAAATTCCCAGTGTCTCTCTGTGGTGGATCCATGGCATCTCTCTGATTCCGCCTCCTTCCTTCCAACATGTTGTTTAGTTTTCCCCACCTACCTAAATTCTGTTCTATCCTATCAGGCCAAGCCAGTTTCTTTATTCATTAACCAATGAAAGCAAAACATAGACATTGGACCTCCTACACCAATCCTGTTACCAAAACAGAAGCCTAAATAAGTAAGGAACAGAATAGAGGAAAAAAGGCTCTACCAATTTCGTTTTTGCATGGTATTTTCTAGCTTCCAGAATAAGTCGTGTTGCTTCTAGCTGTGGAATCTTCTTTAGACTTTCATAGTTTTTAAAAATCAGATAAAACCTCAGAACAAATCTAAAACAACCACAGATTTGATGTATAGCATTTTAGTCAAAATTTATAAAAATAATCAGTATCACACAATTTCTATACCAAATGCTATATATTTTGAGGAAAGAGATTGAAAGTTTGATGGAGTTGCAAAATAATTTGACAAAGCAATAGGTAGTTCCAATCCTCTTTAAATCCACCAACATCTCCCAAAAATGCACACACACAGACAGCATATATACAAACATGTATGCACATACATATACACATGCACATATATCCCTAGAGTATATTTAGATGTAGAAATAGAAGAAGGATTCTACAAATAAAAAAAATTTCACTCCTTTCTTTCCTATTGGAATACTTTCTTTTCCTTTGTTTTGTTCATCTGGTTAAGGTCTCCAGAGCATGCCAAATAGAAGTGGCTAAAAGGAATTCCTTGCTTTGCTCTTGAGATCTCAGAGGAAGGCCGTTCCCCTCTTCCATCTTGTGTAGCGTGAAACTGTGTCACGTGGGGCCTTCATTTCCTTCAGCTGTGCTTCTACGATTCCTCCTTTGCTCTTTCAAATGTTTTGCATTAAAATCAAAATGTTTTGAGTGCGGTAGGCATGGGCAGCTATCCACATGGAGTCCCCCTTCCTCTCTGATTCCCGGGCGTCCAACTGTGTGAGCTCTACCTTCAGTGTCAGAAGTGATTGCACCAGGTAAGGGATATAATGGATACTGAAGGATCCTTGCTGAGTTTTGAGCTGCATCGATATCAAGCTGATTGTTCTAAGCGTGCCTCTTATCATCCTACATCTGTCTTTAAAATTCTCAGCGTTCTTCTTTGGCTTGAAATGCTATTGACCATGGGGCTAAAATGACAAGAGCGTGTGCCGCTGGAAGAGACTGGTTCAGACACCGCTTCTGTGCTCCACCCCACTCTGCTCTCCCAAATGAAAAGTGATCAATATTTTGGAAGTTTCTGTTATCTAGGGGAAAAGAAAAGAAAATTCTATCATTGGATTTTCAGATACTCCATAATCAATCTGCCATATAAAGTATTAATACTTTTTCTCTCGCCGCATCCTTACGTAATTATTCAGTTCTAACTCAGACAGACTTTTTATTCCTTGCAAAATAATTCTCATGTTTTTAGGTTCCCAGTAGCTTTTTATTTAAATAGAAAAGTCTTCTCCATGTTCCATTCTCATCAAAGTCTGAGCCATCACTCAAGACCCCAGTCCACAGCATGCCTATTCCCCAAAGTCAGATAAAGAAATGATTATTATCAAGACTTTTCGAGGCCTTGCTCAGAATCCATATCCTGAAGAAGGACCTCCCAGATTCTTCTCAAGGTTCCCATATAAAATGAGAAAGTCCTTTTTGAGAGAAGTCCAAAAGTGATACAATTATGGTTTAATTTAAAAATTTATAAATCAACAAATGAAACTAACAAAAGCACAATGCGATAGCTCATTGGCTATTCTTGGGGTCCAAGAGGTGATAACTCTCAGGCCCTACATTCAGATGTCGCTATGGGTCTGTCTGAAGCAAAACAGGGCATAATGCCCTTAGAGACGCCAGAACAGTAGCTTAAGGGGGACTGACTTCCGTTCAGCTTGGTTTCTCACTGTCCACCATGGCTGCAAGCCTGGGTCCGCCTGGCCTGAGGACCCGACACTCGGAGTCTCTGGTCTTTATATAAGGGGGCTAATACAAACTCTCCTTCTAAAATATTAATGTGGAATGATACAGTCCCAGAGCCCCTCCTATATCTTATCTGCCTTCAATAATCTGCCTTAGTAACATCGTTTGATCCTCAGACTTAAGACACACCTGCTCAATTATCCCCATATTCACTTGTATTTATTCGAGCCAATAACTAAAAATCTGTTGTTTAAGCTAATTTAGTTTAAGCTTTTATGGCTTAGAACCGAAAGAGAATCCCTAAAGTAGATTTTTGTCAAAGACACAGCTAGAATGGCAATTGGGGGTTCATCTGGGGGAACAGGTCCTTTCATAGAGCTTGTTTTTAGAAGAGGAGCGAATCAGGCCATTGGGCTGCATTTAGGGAGACGACTGCTCCGTGTGCTCAGAAGAGTGGAGGAAGAACTAAGGAATGACTGACAGAGCTAGGAACAGCATGCCTACTCTTGGGCCTTCGGAGCTGTCAAACTCGGACTGTTTTGGCATCTTGTAAAGATTCTTCTTTGTGTGACGGCCATAAAGGAGAGTTATGTTGTAGATATGAGCACACATCTCTATTCGAAAAGATGAAATGCAGATACCGAGCACTCAGGAAAGAGGCTCAAGTGTGTCACCGCTAGAAGCAATTGAGAGGAGGCAGCAAGAGGCATCCGAGGTACCATATTCAGGGTTATGTAAGGATGGGAGGGATGATATTGCCTAGCAGTGATGGGGAACTGGAGCAAGCTGAAGAGGACAGGCGTGTGAGAGTGAGAACCTTCTGTCTTACTAAGAGAAAGATGGAGCTGTAATGTGTGATACCCACATGTTTGATTACTAATTTTTTACCTGCTTTGTTCTGTAGTTATATATTTTTTACAAGGACAGGGGAACTGTGTGCAGGCTGCCCTGAGGAGGGAAGGGACACTTTCATTCTTTGTTAGTTATTTTTTAATTGTGTTTATTGAGCTATATACTTCTTCTCCGCTCCCTTCCCTTCCTCTCCCCTCCCCTTCTACCCTCTCTCATGGTCCCCATGCTCCCAAATTACTCAGGAGATCTTGTCTTTTTCTACTTTCCATGTGGATTAGATCCATGTATGTCTCTCTTAGTGCCCTCATTTTTGCTTATGTTTCCTGGGATTGTGAATTGTAGGCTAGTTTTTCTTTGCTTTAAGTCTAAAAGTCACTTATGAGTAAGTACATATGTTATTTGTCATTTTGGGTCTGGGTTACCTCACTCAATATTATGTTTTGATCCATCCATTTGCCTGAAAATTTCAAGATGTTATTTTTTTCTGCTGTGTAGTACTCTATGGTACCACATTTTCCTTATCCAGTTTTTGGTCGAGAGGCATTTAGGTTGTTTCCAGGTTCTGGCTATGACAAACAATGCTGCTATGAACATAGTTGAGCACTTGTCCTTGTGGTATGATTGAGCATCATTTGAGTATATACCAAAAGTGGTACTGCTGGTTCTTGAGGTAGTCTGTCTCCTAATTTTCTGAGAAATCAGCATACTCATATCCAAAGGGAATGTACCAGTTTCATTCCCCACAAATATTTTTGGTTTAACTATTTTACCCTTTGAGAACTTTATACATGAGCACAAAATTTACATCACACTGCCACTTCCATTTTCCCATCGAACCCCTCCTATGCATACCACTTCAATTCAGGTCACAGATATATTTTGAGGTTCCTGCTAATAGGAAAATTCTAAAACAGGGCCATGGAAACTGTGATATGTTTTAAATACTTGACAAATAATAACTCAAGTATTTGGCATATCATGCTAAATAGTATAGTATACTAAAAAGCCACCCATACGATAGCTAAATAATTCTTAAATATGAATTATCATCATACAGTGGTGTAGCCCACTAGTGGATGAAAGGCTGTTTGGAGTACTTTTTTATTGCCAGGATAATACACCATGGCCAAGACAATTTGTAGAGGAATGAATTTTCTTGGAACTGACAGTTTCAGAGAGTTTTAATCTATGATCATCATGGCAAAGAACATGGCAGCAGGCAAGCAGGGGATGCTGGAGCAGTGGTTGAGAGTTCACATCTTCAGATACAAATATGAGGCCAGAGAGAGCTAACCAGCAATGTTGTGGACATTTGAAACCTTAAAGCTCACCTTCAATGACACACCTCCTCCAAGAAAGCCACACCTCCTAATCCTTCCCTAACAGTTCCACTAACTGGGAAGCAAACATTCCAATACATAAACCTTTGAGGGCCATTCTCAAACCCCCACAAATGCTAATATCATCAGGTGAACAGTTATTTTCTCAGTACTGCCAATGTATCTAATCTTCACGGAAAAATTCCATGGTAGTTTAAACTGTTTAGATCTGGGGGAGCCTGTGACTAGGAGGTTCGGGCTCAGTGTTCTATTGTCGTCTTCACTGCATGGGGCTCAAACGATCCGTTTCCAGGCCTGTGGCCTGACTGTGCCTAAGTCCCCTTGATCTGAGCTCATTCTGCATCCATCTTGCCATGACTAGGAATAGAAAGGACACACTCTGCACCTTGCATTCACTGGAGTTTCCCTTCAGCAGTTACTGCTTCCCTTCAGCAGTTATGTGCTTTTTAATTAGCATAAAATTATTAAGTTTCTTTATGGCAGTCTGAAGCATTTCTGTTGTTGTTTTTGATCTCCGGTGCCCTCTTCACCTGTTTCTGTTCCCCACGTAGACTTTTCCATTTCTACATCATCCTCTCAATGTCTTGTGTTGTTGTATTGCTCTCTTCCTCAATAATTCTTTGTCTGTAATCTCATGTGTTCTTTCTAGTTTCATAGCTTCTGCGTATTTACATCCATTGTGACAGACAGACACATGCACACACATGTGTGCGTGCACACACACACTAAAAACTAGGATCCACATATGGGAAAGGTCATGTGATGTCTGTCTTTCTGAGTTTACATCATATAATGGTTTCAGACCCATGTGCAGTAACCACCAGCTTCATGTCCCTCCGAGTCAGCCCCTATATTGCTGGCAAAGATCTTCTCAAACACAAATCTAAATATGCCTTGGGTTTGCCTAAAAATTCTAAGTAGATTTCCTTAGCTCATTAGTGAACCTTCAACTTCTGCTTGACACGGAATACATCCCAGTTGTCTCTAGTCCACCACTGAGGTCTCATTTCCCATAGTTCTCTGATATACCGTGGCTCCTATTTTTACAGAAAAATGGTGCATTCTTTTATTTCTGTTTCCATGTTCCTGTTTATTCGTGAAAGCCCACTACTTTCTCGCCAATTCTCAGGACATCTTTGAAAAGTTCCAGAATACTGCAGTGCTCGCCATTCCCAGCCCAGTAGCATGTCTTCAGTGCAGCGTTAGGAGACCACTGGAGAAAGGGATTGTAATTTGTTTATCTTTGTGTACTTTGCTCATGCTCCCACGTGCAGCAAGGGCTCAATAAATGCTGACTGGATAGTTGGATTAATGGTCAATAATACCCCATGCTTTTCGAAGTAAGTGCACACGCTCCCTTTGGCCAACTGTTTGCTGTGTAGCCTTCAGGAACGCCCACGGTTTTCTGGATAGTTCTTATTACCAGTCGTGATGGCCGGAAAATGATTGTGGGGTCCCAGGTCTCCACATTAGCATGCTTCTTCTAAAGCAAGCCTCTTTGCTTCTCAGCTGCCTCCAGACCGGCTGAGCCTGCTTAAGGAATCCCTCCAAGACGTTCTTCCTTTGACTTAGTGGGCAATTTCAGTGTGGCGCATAGAATCCTCATCACTCAGGGCTGAAACTGCAGCACGCTGCTTGTCTGCGTGTAGTCGTTCTCCAGGCAAGAAATAATGCATTATTAACACAGCTTTATTATCAGGACCGCGCTGGGCAGATAGAGGAACATTAGAGGATAATTGGAAGGACAGCTGATTTGTTAGCAAAATGTTGCCTTTTGGCTAATGAATCATTCCGATTTTGGCCCCGACAGCTCAGTAACAAGCTTGAAGACTCCTTTGCTTCAGACCATTAAACTCTGACAAACCAGTTATTAAGTATAGCTTGAGCCACCGGTCTGTGGGGAGTACTGCAATTACGAGCCATCTAGGTAATTTTTTTTAATCATTAGGCGAGACAAGGTGAGTCTGATGATGGAGAGTCTGGTGACTGACAGCCTCCGCCGCTCTGCGGTACACAAGGCAGTAAACAGCTGCGGGAGGACTCATCAGTCAGCACACGCTCTTCGCTGGGAAGAGGTGGCAAGAGTAATAAAGGTTATTGCTCTCAAACAAGAAGCCCTGTTCGGGAAGGAAAGGGCACGGTTTTTCTTTATTTCTCATCTGGAGGCTGGAGGTCTTTGCAGGGGAGAAACAGGGATGTTACCAATGCCCAGAAAAGCAAGGTGGGCTCATGTGCTTTGGCTTCCCTATCCTATGGTTGTTACATTGTTTCTGCTCTTGGTAGGCCCACGGCACTGGGCCTCCGTTTCTCCTTTCTGCTCTGCTTTCTCGTTATATTTATAACATGACTCTCCAGGGCAGCTAGATCGCATAGCTCAGCAGAACAAAGGGGGCAGTAAAGACGACGCTAAAACTGTGAAATAGATAACAAGGCTGTGGGCAGATCCAACACTGTTTTCCAGATAGGAGGGCAAGTCTACAGTCTGGATTATGAGACCCCGTGAATCTAGCCAACACCTCGGCAGCCATATGTTCTTGGAGACCTATTCCTGAGGCTTCCTGCCTAGTGTAGTCGAGATGCCGTCTCTATTTGCCTCATAATTCCTGTCTCTGTGTTTCCACAGCCTCAGAAATGGCCCCCTTAACATTCATTTTTATATTTTTAATTTTATTTACTTTTTAAGGTCCCAGTTATTTTTCAAATTGGGGAAAAGGTGGGTTAATTTGACTTGGATCGCTTCTTTTTCTTCTTCCCAAGTTGTGTAACCCAACAATGTGTAATAAGCATTTGAGCCGACCACTTTTAAGCCAGCAATGTGTAATAAGCATTTGAGCCGAACTGCACTCTGGGCCTTCAACCGTGTGCAATATTGTGCATCTCACAGGTGGACACGTTGCTGGGAGCCTTGCTGTCATCACCGATGCCGCCCATCTCTTAATTGACCTGACCAGTTTTCTGCTCAGCCTCTTTTCTTTGTGGTTGTCCTCACGGCCTCCCTCCAAGCGGCTGACCTTTGGGTGGTACCGAGCAGGTAAGGTTCTGTGTTTGTGCGATAATGAATGCATAGTGCTGCAGACAAAACAGAGGGGAAAAAAAATAACCATGGAAGGTAAAGAGCAAAGCCTTGTTCAAAAATTCCCACCGGGCCACACAGTTTGGTGCTCAGGCTAAAATAACCATGTGGGAATGTGTGCTCTCAACATTAATTCACCTGACAGTGAGATTAATAGAAGTAGCTCCTGTCCCGTGGGATTGCGAGAGTATGTGGCTCACGTTAGCAGCTACCCCATCCCCAGGGTCTCTGCCTAGTAACAACGAGGAAATGTTCCCTTAGTTACTCTGAATCCATGAGAGAGATGTTGACGGCAAAGCTTCTGCCACATTGCAAACTAAAGCCCCAGAGTCCAAGAGAGTGGCGGGAGTGAAGGATTTCTCTCCAGGGATTCGGGCCTGAGATGCGGGGCTTTCTCAGTCACACACGGCCTTTAATCATTCCTGTAGCTAGAATGTTACTGTGGATCTGATGCTGGCCTTTAATGACTGTTGGCACGGTGTGGGGGCGGGACTTCATTATGTCATGAGAGCTGTGCTCTTGTTAGTAGGTCAATCTTGTTATCGTGGGAGTGGAATCCACATAAGAAGGGTGAGGTCAGCATAATTCCTTCCCCTTGCCTCACGCACACACACTTGCTTGCTTTTCTATCACGCCATGATGTGGCATAGAAACGCTTGCCAACTTCAAGAACCTTGGTCTGGTACTTCCCAGCATCAAGAACTGTGAGCAAAAAAAAAATAAAATTAAATTAAAGATAAAATCCTTTCATTATAAATTACCTAGTCTGTAGTACTTTGTTAGAGCAACAGAAAATACACCAAGACAACCAGTCAGCGAAGGCATGGCCCAGCTGAATACTTGTTCACTAAATCACCACCAACAATAGAGAGGAAGAAAATGCTGACAACGAGAAGGAAGAGGAGGCATAAAATCCACCGTTTCATCATTTCTCAGAGCTGCTTCTTTCGCTGAGCGACTGCCTGCTCTTGCCCAGGAAGAGGTCAGTCTCTGGGAAATGTCGGCTATGGTTCTCCTTACTGCATCCCCTCACCCATCCACATGGGTCCCAGCTCTATGTTCCCCCTCTGCTGGGGGAGCTTATCTGTTAGCTGGAAGAGTTTCTGTAGGAAACTCTTAGTACCAGTCTGGAAAAATACATAGTTACAGTTCTTTGATTTCACACTGCCTGAGAAGTCAAGGCCGAGGAGACTGGGCAAGAACGCATGGGCAATTCAAGGATAACCTTCACAGTGAAAGATGTGGGTGGCCACAGACCACAGCTTGTTCACTGACAAGGTGAACTATCGGTGTTTGAGGCTTGGATACTAGCGAGCTTGTCTTCAGCAATTTATGGGTGCAGGTGTTCGGGGTTGGCTTACCTTCCACATCCAGAGAGAAATAAATAGCCACCAAGCTCATGAGAAGAAGTTTAGAGAACACTTCAGCTGTCGCTGCATGCTTGGGAGCCTTGTGAGTTTTGTCACGCTCTCAGCATTTATCAACACAATTTTTGATTGTTGTTCAACACTTTCTGCTATTATTGGAACTGTTTGTTTCTCTAGAATGGTTTCTTTTTAAGGGAAAGTAGGTTCAGAATTTTACATCACTGTTTATACCAGTCATTCTCAACTCCTTTGTGTGTGTGTGTGGGGGGCGGTGTCGAAGTATCCTTTCATGGGGATTACATATCAGATAACCTGCAAAGAAGATATTTACAGTACAGTAGAAAACGTACAGTTGTGCAGTACCAATGAAAATAATTTTATGACTGGGAGTCACTACAACACGAAGAACTGTATTAAAGGGTCACATCATTAGGAAGGTTGAAAACCACTGGCTTAGCCTATGTTCTTTTGACTGTGGAAATCTATGAGCCCTAATAGTCTGAAAGATCAAGAATATTCGATAAGACTCTTGCTATTAGGTAAAACATTTTGAAATAAGGTGTATGATATAAATATTGAGAACTCTAAATGTGACTAGTATGACATAATCACAACATTTTAAATTTTATCTAATGTTTAGTTAAATGGCTGTGCATTATTGGTGGGTACCATGTGAAGCACTGCCTAGATACATAGGTGGGCCCTGTGAATGCTTACTAGTTGCTAGTCTTCCTGTTAATGCTTGACTTTGGTATGAGGGCTTTATTGGCCAAGCTCTTGTCTCACTAGATGTTTGCAAACAGGGGCTTAGGGTAGGGCATACTCAACTTGAACATTCCGATTTAGATGCCCCAGGGATGGGAACTATACTAGTTACCATCTGTGAATTCGCTCTCTGTTTCTGGCTAAGCAGAAACTTTTTAGCCTGCGTCTCATTAATTTCAGCAAAGGGAGCTTTAAACAATCTCACTAATTAAATCGTAATTCTTGAGAGTTTGTTCAATGGTGTGTGTTTCCCTGAGCTGCTTTAGCACCATGGTTCCAACTGGACAGCTCAGAGAGCCACTGTCTTAGAGTCTAGAGGAACAGAAGTGGGGGATAAAGGTGTGAGTGAAGCTGCTTTCTTCTGAGGTCTGTCAGGGAAAACATGTTTCCTAACTCAGAACTGCTAGTCTTTGTCATTTATTGGCTTAAATATCTCAGCTTTGATCTTGATATCATCTTGCCCTCTGTCTTTATTCGTGTCTATTTTCACACTTCCCCTTAGAATAAGCAAACCAGTCTTATTTGATTATAGAAACACCCTATACCACAATGATGGCATCTTAACTAGTCAGGTGCAAAGACACCATTTTCAAATGAGTTCACAATATGAGTTGCTAAAGAATAACATTTTTACATGCAAATCTATCTTTGAGGGGATAAAATTCAAGCCACAACATATACCAACTTGCCTCCGTATGTTGCTTTAAAAATCTATCTTATAGATAAAGAAACTCTTACCTGTATAAAGCAAGGTAAGTGTCATTGGTATGCCATATGGCTGTGATACTTGAAATCAAATCCTAAATATCAGCATCAGTGCTTCCTATAGTGTGAAAATGTTGCATGGAGGAACCATCAGAGGTCTTGACTGTTGCACGGGCAGTAATCACATATGCATTCTATTATGGATGAAACATAAACTTATGATTTATGGATAACTTTTTTTAGAAAGAGGCTAAGTCTAAATATGAGTTGATGTGAGAAGACACAAAATGACTAAGGTAAGTGGTACATGAATGTGGCAAAATAATTAAGATTGTATATGAATGACTACAAAGGTCAGGGAAGCAGTAGCCATATAGTGAGTAATAGTACATAATTCTGCATTTGCAGGACCTAATATATAGGAATAATGGAAAGGGAGTGTCATAGTTGGTGTTAACTATCATCTGACACAATCTAGAGCCACCGGAGAAGGGACTCCCAACCGAGGGATTGCCCAGACAAGATTGGTCTGTGGGCATGTCTGTGGAGGATGCCTTTGATTGCTCTAGTTGGGCCCTGCCTAACGTGGGTGACACCATTCCCTAGGCTGGTGGTCATGTGTTGTCTAAGAAAGCCAGCTAAACACAAGTCATCAAGTAGCATTCCTCCAATGTTCCAAGTTCAAGTTCTTGTTTGAGTTCTGGACTTGATTTCCTTCAGTGAGAGCCTGTGGCCTGGAAGTTATGCCAAATGAACCCGTTCCTCCTTAAATTGGGTGCTTGTCACAGCAATAGACTGAGGTAGGATCGAGAGTACAGACTAGCATAATGGACATTTGCCCAACCAGTGGCTCACAGCGTATTTCTAGACACTTGTGGGGTTTAAAATCTCTCGACAAGGCTGAATGAAAGAACATGGTGAGGTATTAAGGAAGGCTCGCATGAGCCAAAGGACTTTGTTTCTTAAACAAGCACATTGAGATGGCTCTTATCTTCAAATATTAATGCAAATGTCTCCATTTTGATGTTTTTTTTCCTTGCAGTTGCTCTTAAAAAGCCGTTGGAGTGTAGATAAACCCTTGAGTTCGCCTCTGTGTTTACAATATGTCCGGTTGGCAAATGAAAGCCATTTGCGTAAAGCACACTCTGAAGCCTTCCCTTTTTACTCGCTTATTCCTCTAAACGTGCCGGTGCTGGCAAGTTGTAAATGTTTTAGGGTGAAATTAAGAGTTTCTAAACACATTTTACTCATTGTATCTCATTATTTCATTCCCTAATAAGCTTCTATCATTTTAGCACCTGCGTAAATTAAAATCCCCAAGGAGAACAAGGGAGGGCAGGCAGCAATTAATATGTTCTAAAAATTTGCTGGAAATTACTCAGTAATAGGGAGCATAATGAATTCTGATGCTCGTGCTTTATGGATGGAACGCTAAAGTGTCTCATCTCAGTTCTCAAATCCATTCATACTTCTGCTTCATGAATCACGGAACAAAGCAGTATGAAGCCATTTTCACAGGCAGGAGGATCAAAGAATCTATGGTCCTCTGGTGGGGAGTGGGGGATGTGAAGGTGATACTCACACTGCTTCCCATGAATTTGACTCCCAGAGATCCTTGGGGCCCTGCTGTCTGTCCTCTGCATCTGGTTGGTGACTGGCATCCTGGTATACCTTGCCTGTGAGCGCCTACTGTATCCTGACTACCAGATCCAAGCAAGCATCATGATCATCGTTTCAGGCTGTGCCGTGGCGGCCAACATTGTGTAAGTCACTCCATGCCGAGAGTCTACTGGGCTTATCTTCAGTCCTACTGTGAGACATATTATTAAAAATAAAAAAATTCTCCTGGGTCTGTGAAGATGCTAAAGTTCTGACATGGTATTCGGATGTCATTAAGACTTAAAATAGTATTGGTCACTATGGATTAAGGCATTTTAAGCACTGACTTTCACAAGCTACCACATTTGAAAGCTTCCAACACGCCAGAGAGTGGGAAAGGATCTCGCGATACACACATCAAATTCAATTTTGCGGTCTTCCAACCCCATCGAGTATGAAAGGGTACTCGATGGTTATGAGTAACAAAGCTCAGCTATGTTAAATAGGTAGTGAGACATTAGGATTTGAACCTAGATCCATGCATTTGGAGTAGAGGTTCCCTCCACACTCTACTTTCTCGTGTGTGTTAATGACCCCATGGGATAAGGCTTCCAAATGGTTCAGCTTTGTTTGGTAAGTAGATAATGAATCCTCAGACTGCTGAGTTGACAGAGACCTTAGGGATGATTTACTGTAGTGTGCTTTCTGTGTTGAAGGTCACTTTACTATATCTTTGTAAATGGGCCATCACCTTCATCTATTCAACCAAAACAAAAGAGGAGGTTTTTCTTCCATCAAATTCTACTTTGTCCTTAAAACATACTGCGGCATGAAAAGCTGGTGGGAAAAGGAAATCCCTCCCACAATTGCCTTCAGAAAGAATTCAGTCTTTCAAACCTACTTCAGACTTCTCACCTCCAGAACTGTAAGATAATGAATTCATGTCATTTTAAACTCCTAAAGCATTGTAGTAGTTTATTAATTCAGTAAATTGAAAATAATATACAGATTGAGCATTCCTGATCCAAAATCTAAAATGTTCTGAAACCTGAAGCTTTGGAGTATGCTTCAGGCTCAAAATACAGGACCTTGGAGCATTTTGAACATTTTGAATCATCAAATCAGGAATATTTAACTGTTAATTTTTATGTAAAAATTCACACACACATTTAACTGGTAATTTTATGTAAAAATTTACATCTATACAAAACTTCAAAATTTTATACCCTTCTGGTACCAAGCATGTCACCTTCCAGTCTTCCAGCACAAATGGATGCATATTATAAGGTAGATTTGATATCAAAACTTGACAGTGGTTGAAGAAATAAAAACGGTACTTACAGCATTGTTTTTAAGAGAGAGTGTGATGGAATCGTTGCAACTTATAAGTATACTAACTTGTACAGTATGAAAATGTTTCCTCAGGTTGTTGTAAGAGTCTTACATTTAGACACCTCCATTTTTCACGTCCTAGTATGTACCCAATATAACTGAGCTGAAAGTTAAAGACAGCGATCTGCTGTCATTGCCTAGATCCCACCTACAGTGAGCTCTCTTGAAGCTATGTTTCACATGGGAAGAAAGAAGGCAGACAGATGAATGTGCATCTCTCTTCTCCAGAAGATAAACCCTCAGAACATGTGTCCTGATCACTGGGGGTAAATGCATAAGGAGAAAAATATGTCTTGAAGGCAGTAGGAAGAATGGAAGCTTTATTTCCAGAGTCCTACGTCATGTAGGTTGCGTCAATCCCATGCAAAGATGGTGGATACTGTAGCCAACTGCTACATTAACCTGGGGCCTGAAGGTAGATCTTGATCTTCGTAAAAGATACCATTCGGATTTTCCTTTGATTGCAGCTGCTTGTGAACGTTGACCTGACCATGGCTAGTGCTTCCCATCCTTAGAAAGGCAGCCTACTTGGTTGCTCTGCCTTCCCCAAGCAAGTAAGCAGGTGGTTGTTTATGGAGAAAGGGACAGAGTGACTAGAATGTTTCCTCCAAGAACAGAGTAGGTAGGTTTCAAGGAATGCTAGATACTGGATTGTTGGAATATGTAGAGATATCTGAACTGAAATTTGGGGGTAAATCTTCTCCTTGGGAACCCCAAACCAGGACAGAAAGCTCCAGCAGCAACTGTAAAGAGCCTTCGATAAAAGTTGTAGACAGAGCCCCAAAGCAAACATTTTTCAGCCCAGTTGCTGTGTGTATCTAAACAAGACCCTCTTCTGGTATCAATTTTAGTGTTTATTTTAGTAGATACGAACATAAATGTGTGTGTGAGATCCCTGCTATCTCTGCCACCAATATATGCTAGGGAGATATCATGCCCAGTTTATGGTACAAACATTTAACAGTGCCTCAATATGTGCTCCCCATCATCTTAAAATAAAACGAGAAAAAAAATGAATGACAATGTGGTGAGTATAAATAACAGATCTAGAAGATCTATAGACTGCCAGCCTATCAGGCCATCTGGGGCATGTGGCATGGTAACTCACAGTTGACAGTGAATTTCTATCCAGATACTGACAATCTGAAAACTGCATTATGAAATGATCAAAACTGGATAGGTATCTTGATTCTGCTTTTGGTGATGGCCTGAGATTTAGCAGATACGTTGCCCAAACATATTTCTTTCAGGTTGCTTGGAATTGTCATGCTAAACTTTGCAATACATTGCAATATGTGTGTATATATACAAGATCTCTAGACTAGATCAGATAATTTTATTCTCTGTATGAATAGGCAGACACAGCATTCTCTTTTTCGGCCATTAGAAAATTACTCATATTTTAAATAACCTTGCAAATGAACCAAATTAAATACAATGTAAGATTCTAATTTTAGAAGGAGAATAGATAACTCCGTCAGTAATATGCTTGCATCACACGCATGAGAACCTGAGTTTGACCCCCCAGAAGCCACAGAAAAATACTTGGTATAGTGGTTTGTAATCTCAATGCTGGGGAAACAAAGACAGCAGTTTGCTGGTCAAGTTGCCTAGCCAAATCAGTGAGTCTCAAGCTAATGAGACTCTCTCTCAAAAAACAGGGTAAATAGCTCCTGAACCAAGGTGGTTCTCTGGTATCCATGTGCACATGTACACAAATAGATTGATAAATTCCCTCCAAAAGCCATAGACCATATAACAAAACATCAGTATCAGACAGAAGAAACCTCCTTCTGTGTGTTGGTCAAGGGAGACATAGAGATTCCTCAAGAATTTCAACTAATGCTGTCCTCACTTGCCTCCCAGAACTTAAAGGTAAAAACTTATTGCTGAAGTACCACATGCTTTATACAAAGGAAGAATTGATCTAGAATTGACCTGGCAGCTTCCTCCCTGTGGACTAAACCTCATGGAATTTGAAGGTTCTATGTAAGCTGCCAAGGGAGATAAACAGCCACTAATCCGGGAGAGCTATAATGCCTGAGAACCAGAATGACAAGCACAGCAAGATATACTCAGGGTTGCAATAGTGGTACATTGGCGACAGCCAACAGTTCTCTAATTGGACCAAGATTTGGGTTTCATGAAAGCAATAATGCTTCCCAGTTTTACTGTGGAACAGAATCGCATTATGTTGGTAAATTACTCAGAAAATGTAGGTGAATTTTTGAAATATTTCCTTTTGAGAGTTTTTAAAAGTTCTAAGATAGACTAACAATCAAATATAACTCCAACATGATGCACCTTGAAACTCTGATATTTTAGCTACCTAACAGTTTGAATAATGAATGCTACCAGTCACTCCTCTATTGTGCTCTGTAGGCTTTTAAAGACCTTTCGTATGTGTGTCAAAACATTGTGATCTCTTTCAGACTAACTGCAATTTTGCACCAACGGCACTTTGGCCACAACCACAAGGATGCACAAGCTAATGCCAGTGTCAGGGCAGCCTTTGTGCATGCCCTTGGGGATGTATTTCAGAGCATCAGTGTGCTAATTAGTGCTCTCATTATCTACTTCAAGGTATGTTTAAGTAATGATAGCAATTCTATGAATGCAGTAGCATTAGCAGCCTGTGTTTGCCAGCGCAAACCACTTTACAAAGTTAAAACTAACAAATTCTGAAACCTTAATATTCCCTATAGTCCAAAGAGCTGTCTTTTTCTGTTGGGCTTTGAGTCTTTCAAGAAAATTCAGTTTGACATGGTGTTAAGACGAAACCGTGAACATCTTGCGTTTTTAGATGTAAGCAGTGGATAAGATCTCTGGTTTGTTTACATTATACTAATGGGCTAAAATTTACAGAAAAAAACTTAGAGATAGAAATCAAGGTAGAAGTAAGGGCACATTTTAGTATCTATGGGTATCATGCTGAAATAAATATGTCAACTCAAGTATGTTTTTCTGTCATATTTCTTAAAGATTTATTTGTGTTTGTTTTATAAATTAGTCCAATAGCGAATGAGTATGTGCACATGAGTGCAGGTGCCTGACCCAGAGAGGTTGGAGGAGTTGGATTCTCTGGAGCCTGATATGAATGTTGGGAAGTGACCTTGGGTTCTCTGCAAGAACAATCCTCACTCCTAACCACTGAGCTATCTCTTTAGCCCTCTGAGAAAATCACATTTCTTGGGAGGGTGTCCAATTGACTGAGATTGGGACTTGTGTCCACTACTTGGCTGGGAAAGGGTAGAGCACTTGATTCATGGACCTGCTTATATTGTCCTCAGTGTGGAAGGAGCTTCTTTTCCCCAAAGCAGAGATCTCAGGCAAAATGAGAATGGAGAAGGGTCTCCCGCACTAAACATGTAAGTGCTCACCGACAGAGATGTGTGTTTGGGACAGAGAAAGTGGAGCAAGAAATAGCATTCAGCTCCACCTTTACCTATCATGCTATTATGAGTTTCCAATTTGGAGAGAACTGTGTTTTTTTTCCTCCTAAAGTGTAGCAAAACATAAGTCAAAGTGAAAGAATTCTGAACTCAGTTGGAGAAAATGCACCTTGAAAGCTTCAAGTCAGTAAATAAATAAAAACTTTTAAAGTGAAATAAAAGCTTCAAGTCAAAAGCAAAGACAGTTTAAAGTCATCAATACTAGTAGTTTGAGTTTGCCAGAGGGGATGGAGACTACCCATGAAACAAGGCCTTCTAAGCCCAGGAGGACCCGTGTACATGGCCTGCTCAGATCTGGGCCTGATATGGTCCCAGTGCTGAGAGGGGACATGGACACAAGCCCACATCCCTAACGCAGAAGTTATTTCCCGTTGATAACCACTCACAAATGAAAAGTTAGTGTTCTCCAATGGAGTCTCAGCATTCTTGAGGACGGGCCCCTGCCAACAGTAGATACCACGACGCAATGAAATCGGTGGCATTTGTGAGGTTCTTTGTCTCCTAATGCTTTGTCACGGAACTTTTAATCTTACAGGTCCTTTGCATATAAAAGATATGCATATATTTATGGGATTTCTGTGTGAATGTGTATGCCTCTGCATCTATTTATGTTTCTTAACAGACCACAAGCGTTCACTGATGCAAAAGCTAAGAATGTCATTAGATAGTATCTGAGATCTATAGTAGGATTTTCCTAGCTTTGCCGGAACCACCTAGCCATGGCCCACACAGTGTAATTGGTAAATACTTTGATTTATGACTTTCGTTGCTGTGTAATTAATAAAATCTCCTGTAACAACTTCAAAAAAATATTAACTCGAGTTAGGTTACTGCTGCATTTCCCAAAAGTGGAGCATTGGCTTTTCTGTGCCCCTGAGCTTCACTGCAACACTAGCATCAGAATGGCGTGTATTTCACTCTGATATCAAGGTTATCAACCAATGGAGGGAGGGAGAGAGGGAGATAGGGAGGGAGAGGGAAAGAGAGGAGGAGAGCTAGAGATGTATAGAGAGAAATAGGGAGAGAGATAGATAAAGAGATAGAGAGAGGGCTCAAAAATCAAATCATGCCTTGGTTTGTGCTTTAATGTCCGAAATAAATGACATTCCCCTTTCCTCCCTCACCATAATTAAGGTTGAAAAGTGTTGGCGCATTTGACCATCTTTTTACACATTTCCATGACTACAGCGTTCTCATATTAATTAGAGAAAATTAAATCAGATATGTTTTTTAGAGCATACTTAAGAATATGTTTGAGTTTAATTCCTAAGTTATGGGGAGCATATTTAGAAGCCTCTATTCCTTAGTCTCTAGAAATTTAAAACTTCTTTGGTGACTGAGTCTTTAGGAACAGCATTCTTCCATTGAGTTGAATGCCAAGGGTCGGGAAGGATAATGGGAAACAGAGAAAGAAACGTTCTGAGAGGTTTACTTAGCTTATTAACCAGACTTCTTGACAGAAAGGTTGAAGTCAGCTAACCAAAGCTGCTGTGTTTTTCCAGCCAGACTACAAAATTGCAGATCCAGTGTGTACATTTATCTTTTCCATCCTGGTTTTGGTCAGTACCATCATGATCTTAAAAGACTTCTCCATCTTACTCCTGGAAGGTAGGAGGGCTTTCATCATTATTCCTAGGATTGATGCTTCTTTCCCCCTCTGGTCATAAAGGGATGACTTCATGGCATGTTCTCTGCTATTTGTGTTATAGGGCAAAATTAGAGTAATAAGGACTTTTAATATTTGATTTTGCTTGTATGAAACAAATAGAAATGGTATATATGTACACCATTTTTATTTGTATATCTGTATATATACATATACACCATTTCTGTTTGTATATTTATATAAATGCGCATGTATATATGTTAAATTATGTCTCACAATGTAAAGATATCAATATAAACACTAAATACAACATTAGAGGCAAATATTGCAAAAGTTATAAATATGTCCCCAGGCATACCATAAAATATCTAAAAAAAATACAAGAAGAGTCTTCCTCTTAGGCAACATTATAATTGAACACTTAGGTCTCACGTGTCTCAAAGTACAAGGACACTGTAATGACTTTTATTTGTTCAGTAAGTCCTTGCTCAACCCTGCTAGATCATGTCCTTAAAATTAGACTTAGAAAGACAAGCAGAGCAGTGATTGACACTCTCCTAATGGAGGGAGCTACGTGTGAGTGAAAGGAGAGACTGTTTAAACCTTGAATAAGAAAGAATAGAGCAACATGCCTAGCGGGGGTGGTGCACGCCTTTAATCCTAGCACTTGGGATGCAGAGGCGGGTGGATCTCTGTGAGTTCGAAGCCAGCCTGGCCTACAAGAGCTAGTTCCAGGACAGGCTCTAAAGCTACAAAGAAACCCCGTCTGGAAAAACAACAACAATAGCAAAAAAGAATAGAACAATACATGCTACCAAAGAAGTGGAATGGGACTTTAACATGGCTGAGAAAGAGGGACCAGTGGGCAGCAGGGAAAATGATGCTTCCAGCTTGTTCTTAGCCCAAAGTTGAATCTTTTGCTAATTAAACACATGGCCCATACCAGTACCACCCATATATTCTTCTGCTTTTCCTGGCTCCACGGGTCTTCCAGTCGATCAGAAATAGATGGCAGAAGTAACTCTCCCCATCAAGAAAGTAGCTCAGCACTCAAGCTTGTTGGGCACATCTCCTCCCTCTAGCCTGTATTTTGGTGATTTTCTTTTCATTTGTCATAACACAGTTGAAGCACTGCTGTCTTCTGAGCTTCCCAGACTGTACCTATGTAGTTAGGTGGGACATATATGCTTCCAGGTGCAGTGGCAGATGCCGATAATCTCAGCAGTGGGCAGGTGCAGGCAGGAGAACCACTGTAAGTCCAAGGCCAGCCTGGACTTTATAATAAAATTAGGCCATCTAGGGTTACACAGCAAGAGACTCAAAAATAAATAAAAAACAAAAGTTAAGCTGATTGGCTGGTGGTCTTCTCATCTTCCCACATGTTCTTCATGATTCATTTAGAACGAAGAGAATGACAGGAAACCGTGATCGTCTGAGATGCAGAAATTGTTTCCTGACTTGGGCAGCTAAAACAGCGGGAACGTTTCAAGCCAAATGATAAGATAGCATTGCAATGTTAGTACTTCCTCTTAGCACAGTCCCTGGAGAGACTTATTGGACAGTCAACATTGCATAGCATTTTAATTTACAAAGAACAGGCTTGTTCCACGAAGCCTCCATATCATTCATGATCTAGCATTGCTCGTATTGGCCATATTTTACTCTGTATATGATCAGAGAAGCCTCATGATTTGAGAAAATTTGCAGAATTAATTATAGTCAGAAAGCAAACCCAAGATTTATGATGTCAACCTTATGTTGTTCATCATGTATCATAGAGCGTGTGCAAAGATGAAAGCCCTGTTAGTTAAATGTTGTTTTGGAATGATTACGATTGCTAGGATGCTGCCTAGTAAATCTGTGAGTCTTTTGTCTGTGGACTGGAGATTGGTGACAAACCCTTTGACAGAGTCGGGTTTATAAACACTTGAAGTACAAAAGCAAAGAAGGGACTGATGGCAAGTTGGTGTTCCGGTGAGGATTGCAGCCGAGTTGGCCTTCATAGCAAGCGCGTTCACGTTAGTAACATGAGGGCCCTACTCTTCCTGTCTCAGGTGTTCCAAAGGGCCTGAGCTACAGCAGCGTGAAAGAGCTTGTCCTCGCAGTTGATGGCGTGGTGTCTTTGCACAATCTGCACATCTGGTCGCTGACAGTGAACCAAGTGATTATCTCTGTTCATGTTGTTACAGGTCAGTGAGCTCTGGAAGCACCCTAGGCAAGATGCTCTCAATACCCTGAGAACTCAGTCATTTTTCTTCCTTTTAGAGCTGCCCTTACTATCTATTGTCTGTCAAAACAACTGTAAAATGTGTTGCTCTAGCCAGCGCCTCTGAAAACCAACCCACTTATCAATGTTGTCATAGCAACAAGGATCCCAATGGCATCCTCTGGGCTGATTGCATAGGGGAGAGAGATGGTACAAACGGCTAAAATATCTTCCCAACTTCAAGCCCTTGGCTTCGGGAAAAAAAATGACTTTAACTGTTTGTCTGGGTGCCTCCTCATTCTAAATAATAGGAATGAATTCGGCAACAACAACAAAAAAATTCAATGGAGTATCTCCTGTGTAAAAGATAGTTTTCTGACCCTGAAGACAAACTAAGGGAAATGGAAGGTCAGCTTTGAAATTCCTACAGGCTAATAGATGTGCTGAAAGACGGTCAGAGATCCTGTGGTCATGTAAGACACTTCATAGACTAGAGTCAAACCTGCTTCTTTCAAGTAGATGGGGATTATGTCCATGATAAGTTTTCAGACTGAGGGAAGGGGAGGTAGGAGATTTTTCTTCCTCTTAAGAGAAAGCTCGGGCTAGGGAGAGTATGTCAGGTTGTTTAAAAATGACTAAAAAAGGTACTTAGAGGCAGGGAATGGGATCAGCAGTGACAGTCTGTATTTTGTCACTTGTCCTCATCTTCTCCAAGGGGTGCAGATAAGACTCCAGGAAATTTACAGCAACCTCTGTACAAATATTTCACCCCAAGTGGAAGAATATAGTAAACAATCAGGTTATGATGGGGGAACTTTGCAGCCTCCTGTTATGACTTAAGACAAGAAAAAGGACGGCCACGAGGGTGGATGCTCTAAGGGAGGCCTGTGGAGAGCTCTAAATGCCTTCTTGTTCCTGCCGCTTGTCTTGATATAAATTCTGAGTAAATCCAAGGGCTACAAAAGGAAGCTTCCTGGGGGCTGGTGACCAGGGCTCTGTAAGACACAATAGCTCAGCCTGGTCATGCTTCTTAGCAAGTCTTGTTTCTCCTTCCCTACGAAGCTCATATGAGTGCTAGACTACAGAGGTAACTGAGTAGGTAGAGTATGCATAGTAAGGGGTACTGTGTGCTTAAGTTCCCCCCACCTTGACTGTGTGGACAGAGTTCAACGTTGGAGCCAAAAGCTTCTTTAGAGGGCTCTGCCCTCACCTCACCCATCAGGCAGGACCTAACACTTGAAGCTGAAATCAGTCAGTTCTTGCCTCCTCTCTCTCTCTCTCTCTCTCTCTCTCTCTCTCTCTCTCTCTCTCTCTCTCTCTCTCACACACACACACACACACACACACACACACACACACACACACAGAGAGAGAGAGAGAGAGAGAGAGAGAGAGAGAGAGAATGCATTATCTGTGTTAATCTCTCCGTGCTTCTTTATCCACAGCCTCCAGCCAAGACAGCCAGTCCCTGCAGACAAGGATTGCTTGTGCCCTCCACAGTAGCTTTGATCTGCACTCCCTCACCATTCAGATAGAATCTGCAGCAGCCCAGGACCCCAGCTGCCTTTTCTGTGTAGAGCCACAGGACTAGCTGGGTCATACTGCCAGCTTCCTGTGCTTCACAGGCTGTGACAAGCTGCTGCAAAGTCTCTGTAACACACAATTAAGCACCCGATGGAACAGATATGAGCAAGTCATGACAGTGTAACGTGCTCATTCTTCCTTTTTATTTATCTCCATCTACCATGAATGAAGACTCATGAGATCCATCAGTTTCTTGGATTCTTTCATAATCAGTAGTTGTGTCCAATTATAGGAATACATGTATAGATTACTCCTAACCAGGAGGCTGAAATAGCAGATGCTTGCAACCACAGATAATAAATGATTCGCTTCCCTGCAATAATGGGTATAGCTGAATTCAGGAATGCCTTTCCTGGAGTCCTCAGCATGAGAAACAAATATTTGAAGAGAATCTTGAGGCATTAGAACTCGACTCTTCCCCCATCCCCAGTGAGACATACATTATTTGTGAAATGGTGGAATTCCCACTTTTAATATTGCATGTAAATTACGGTGTGGTGTGTGTAAGCTATTGAATTATATTTTACATGACTACAGTGCTCTATGTTAAGCTACTGAATTATGTTTTAGTTCTTGGTGCAAAGGTTATGGGAGAAGGAAAAAATTCTGAAATGGCTAACTTTTGAATGCTTTCATAAATTGTAAATTAATAATGCATGAGGAGTCATGGAACAGGCTGTTTCTTATCCAGGTCTCATGGAAAGAAATTCAAAGGATTAAGATGAATGTCAAATATTGCACAATATTTATGGATCACTGTTGTTCAATAGCTGTACTGCATTTTCTAATGGCATAATTTTTAGAATTTCATCTTAATACTTAATAATAGTATCTATTATCATGTAGATAAAATAAAAAATCAAAGAAGATAAAGTAATTTAAAAATCTTATTTGTTCACTCATTCAAAGATATTATTTGATGCCAGACTTGGAATGAGGACTGGGGAATAGCTTTATTTTTTATTTCTGTAACTAAATTGCACTAGGTAATTACAAAGGAAAGAAATTTTATGTGACTCATGGGTCTATAGACTGGGAAGCGACACATGAGTGGTGACTTTTCGGGGTGGTAATGGAAATTGCAGAGTCCTTAGAAAAGGCAGGGCATCACAGGATCTGAGGACTGAGCATCCAGGGTTACTTCTTGGCTCCTCTTCACTTAAAGCCACAGTCGCACTGAATTAGGACCCCATCTTTGTGTTCTCATTGCGTATTATTTCCCAAGGGTGCCACCTCCTGCCAAACCATAGTTAGACTAGGATTCTAGCCTCTTATGTGCCCACCAGGGGCATTAACTTTCAGTGTTAGTTTTAGTGGGGTTGTTCATACCGTGGTCAGTGAATGAAGCTGATATCATGCTTGCCCTCATGGAGCTCTTTATGTTTTCTATTGAGGTAGAAACAGACTCTGCACTGATGAAGATAGCTGAGAAATGCTAGAGGAACTAGCCAGTGATGCGAAGGAAAAGAGACTGTGAGATTGAGGCAGCTGAATGAAGAATGTCTCAGAGAAAACGGCATCTAAACTGAGAAGAAAAACTATGTGCTAGCTAGGTGAGATGTAGGATAGGAGGAGCCACCTTCCAAAAGAATCAAGTCAGGGAGTGAGCACCCTGAAGAACTTGTACGTTTGAGAAACTGAGGAGGGCCCTTGGTGCCAATGCTGCACCAAACAGACGAATTAAAGACTGTGAAATAAATGAAGCTAGAGGGAGATGTTGACTCACAATGCAAGATCTACCCCATGCTTAAGCTCACTTATGCTTTCTCTTTGAATATATTTTCATGTGCTCTCCGTTCTCTCTCCCTCAGCCTCCCCTCTCTTATTTTGACAAAATAATCTGAGCAGTTGGTCATTGTTGCAGGAGGGCGCTTGTTTGTTCCCGGCTGCTCAGTCCCGAAATAATCACACAGAAACCATATTATTTGCAATGCTGTTTGACCAATAGCTTCAGTGTATTTCTGGCTAACGCATATCTCAAATTAACTCATCTCCATTAATCTGTGTATTGCCACAAGGCTGTGGTTTATCGGGTAAAGTTCCAGCGTCCTGCCTCTGGTGGGGCTACTTGGCTTTTGTTTGATTCCGCCTTCTTTCTTCCAGCAGTCAGTATAGCTTTTCCCGCCTACTTCTACACTGCCCTATCAACAGGCCAAGGCAGTTTCTTTATTCATTAGCCAATAAAAGCAATACATAGACAGAAGGACCTCCCATACCGGGTCATTACTGCAGGAGAGTGTACAGATTATTATTAGTTTGCATTCTTCATGAGGACAGAATGAATAAAATGTGGCCTTTAAAAGCAAAACTCCAACAGTGGCTTCTTGATGTATCTTATCCGTTACTGGACACGCCCTGCTATTCACAGACAGCACTGAGCCTGACTCTGAACAAAAGTCTGGCTATGGGAAAAGAAACGAGAGAACTGGAAAGGTTGTGATTTGATAAAAGATGGATCTGAGTTATGCCATTAACAGCAGATCTGTGGGAGAGAGGAGCTACAATGGCATCTGTGGAAGGAGACACACTAGTGGGGCAAAGGTCATGAGAGAGGTAGAAAAGATGGCTTCCATCTCTTTCCGCTATCTTCCACATCTCTAATTTTGAACTGGTCCTCTTTCTCTGAACTTCAAACTCCCCATTGGAAAATGAAGTTTCTATTGTTATGAAGACATTTATACCTGAGCTTCATGGACTAATAAATGTAAAAAACAGGGTTCTTTCTGTGGTCAGTAGTCTAAGTCATGGTCTCTGAACCTCAACAGTGCAAGAAATATTAAATATGAGTTTTTTATATCAACTACTATTAAACTTGTGTTTTTGACAAGGAATTAAACTATTTTTATCTCCCCACCTTGTAATCCTTTAATACAAATGTTTTAACCTCCTCCCAAATCTGCTAAAATCTTTGTATATACAAAGGCCCTGTTAAGATCTTTGATTAAAATGGTAGATCCTCCACCCTTCATTTCTTCTGTGCTAAGTTTTAAAGGGGGAAAGATTGTGATATTAGATGCCAGCCAATGAGGAAAAGACACAGTGACCACCTGCTTTGGAATTAAAAATTAAATTTACTATGTGCTTGTTTCTCTGCTTTGGTGAGCAGGGCACCCTCTGGATCAAGAGTAAGGTTTGCCTTGTTGAGAGACTTTGATTGGAATAATAGTCTCTTTCTTTGTAAAGTCAAATATCTTTTTAACAGCATTGTTCTTATTTGAGGCTGAATCATTCTTTGTTGTGGGGAAATGTGCTGTCCATTCCCAGGACTTAGTTGCACTTGTCAGTTGTAGATGTAGTACACACACACACACACACACACACACACACACACACACACACAGAGAGAGAGAGAGAGAGAGAGAGAGAGAGAGGGCAGTCAGATCATCAGGTGAAAGAGGTTGGAGGTTGTGGAGATTTGGAGCTTGAATGGCTGCCTTTGAACAAGAAGTCAGGAATCAGAAGGGAAACGTGAGGGTGCCTTTCATGTTGGCCTATTTCTGTCTACTTATTTTATTTTCTAGATCCTTCATTAAGGAGGCAGGACATTTAATACAATTCACCTGAAACTAGAACATACATTGGCTAACTTTAGACACTTTCCAAAGTTAGGATGTATTAAAGCCAGAGAAACTCAGGCTCATATTGTCCTCTCTATTCCCCTTGGTATATAAGGTAGATGGAGTATGTCTCTGAGAGCCAGCGCAGGTATGACTCTCTCCGTTCTCTCCAACTTTGGTGAGCATGGGGTTGAGTAGCTAAGAACAGGTCCTCTGCAAATGTGCCCATTCATCTCTCTCTCACTCCATTGTTTTCATAGGAAGATTGAATGAGCCGGTCTCAAGACTTAAATTGAAACCACAGAAAAATGGATGGCTTATTTTTTATATTATTTTATATTCTAGCACCCAAAACATTTCATGACATTATAGGAAACTGACTCAGGAAATAATCAAGTGGCATTTTGATTTGTAATCTGTTATTTGTAGGTTTTCTCCCAGGACCTCCTCAGAAAGAAGGACAATTGGCAAGACAGGTCTATATCATTCCAAGTTCTTGACTATATAATAATCATATAATTCTAAACACTGGAGTTTATTCTAATAAGAAGAGGAAAACTGTTCCATTTGAATATGTTAATTATGAAGGTATAAATGTTATTAGAAATTGGTCACAGTCCTTAGGGTTTTTTTTTCTAGTCTGAATTTGGACATGGGTATAAATATACAAAATTATTTTCAAGTCATTATTCCTTTATCATCTTAGCCATAAATCCCTTCTAGTTTTAAATTCTAACCAATTTATTAACAGGCTAATAATTCATGAAAATTTTTAAGAGATGCTATTCAAAAAAGAGTATTTTTGTCTATCAGAGTATTTATATCTTGGGACCCACCAAAGAAAGTATTTGCTGAAACCCAGAGGGCTCCAAGAAGAGCACATAAAAACTTTGAAGTTGATTCTCCACATTGTTGAAATGATAATTAACCTAAAAGGAGAAATCAAGATTCAATGACTTCATTGATTCCATGTATGCTTTGAGCGCTTGCTTTGCAACAGGCATTGCGCTTGACAGTTGGGTTATAAAGAAGAATTAAGCATAGTATATGCTTCTAACTCACTCTTTGGTAATTTAATTAAAATAAAACTGTGCAGGCCGATGTCTAGGAAATCACAAGTCAGTAGCTGTGGTTTATAACCTCTACTTCTGCATTTATGTAAATACTTCAAGAGGACTCTAAAGGAGAAGCACAAACTGGAAGCCACAGAGGAGTGTCAGATACATAGATAACTACATCAGATTCTCACATTATAGCATGAAGAAAGGCATGAAAGGGAATGGCGAGAGTTGCCTGGCAAGCGTCAGGATTTATGTCACCTTGGTAACAGCCAGGCTAGACTTTGATTTTTATAACAGGGTTCCAAGTAGCTAAGAACAAGCCATTCTAGAAAAAAGCACAAAAGTGAGAAAGACACCTATGTCATTCTGTTAGCCTTCCATTTAAAAAGCATTGAACATATGGGAAAGGACTCTTTCAACTCTGTGATTCTTAACACCATATAATTGTGCAACCTTATGGATTCAAGTCTATAGATCATTGCCAGCCTCCAGCAGGATACTAGAAACCATTAATGATGGTTGGGGCAATGCCTCTAAGGCTAGAGGTGGGCCTTGTCATGGCTTTTTCATTTATGTTAGTATTTTTCTGGAATCCTGAAGGCCAAGAACACAATGATTTTGACATAGACTGTCACATCTCTTCGGCTCAGTCAGCTCCACTGACATGCTGCTTCGCATTCTGCTGACAGTTGGTCCTTCTCCATGGCCACAAATCGATGTGTTCCTCTCTTCAATGAGCACATCCAGGCAACTGCTTGGGTTTCTCATGTCTCAGACACATCTGGCTTCCCCAACGTCTCAGATCATGCCTACTTGCTTGCTATGTCTGAAGAGCCATGGGATGGTGTTTTATTTTCATATTCTGTGCAGGTCAGAGTGCTAACGATGAGATGACCTGGAAAACACCCTGGTTCTACTGCAATTTCAAATCATATACATATTTTATTTTATATAAAATGCACCACGTGCAAGGCAACCATAGAGGTGAGAGAGTGATATGTTTACCAAAGGACTGTCTCATGGCTTCTACTTAACCCTCAAAAATGTTTATTTCTTGGAAATTCCAAATCTTTAAATAAACTCACTCCAATGATCCAGATGGTAAGTTGCAAGACAACTTAAAATGACGATTTTAAAGATCTTAAGATGAAGAATCAAATGTTGCCAAGCATGTTTCCATGCTGTCTGTCAGTTTTGAAGTTTTGTCTACTCACCCTTTGCCCCTTCCTTCACATGGTCAGAATTCTGAGCCCTTGAAGGGAGTGGAACAGTATAGGCCTCTTTGCTTCGAGACATTCTATTCCCCCAGCTCTCAAAACATCATTTCTCTCACAGCAACACATCTCATTCTTCTGAGTGCTGAAATCAGGTCAACGTCTCTGCCATCTCCATCCTTAATATGCTTCTCCATCATCCAGCACAGGGTGGAGACTCAGCTAAGGCTCTATGGTGATGTTAGGGCTCATAAAAGAGATTTATGTGTTCCATCTGTTTGGTTGCAGATGGAAAATGGGAATTCTGAAGGACATGACCGAGGGAATGTTTCTGCCTTAAGCCTCGATCTGGAAACGAGATTGCCTAAGTTTGGATCTTAGCTCTTTATCTCATTAGCCCTGTCACCCTTCAAGATGGTTACTTAAAGACTCTGAGCCTCCATTTCATGAGTGGCAAAACCTTTCTATCTAGGTGTCTGAGTAGCTAAAACATTGGGACAGTTAGATGTAGATCTGTGTGAAATGTTTTGTCATCATTCAGGACATATTAGCTATTATCACTTATATATGAAGGTGAGTACGTGAGAATGCATGCACACACATGCACGCACACACACACACACACACACACACACACACAGCTTTAAATCATCCATCACTTTAGAAGCTCTTAAGTCATCACCACAAATACCCCCACAGACAGGTAAAATGGCTGGTGAAAATTAAACAGCTTTTCCATACGAAGGAGTAATTGAGACTTGCTGAGATAAAGGCGTTTACTGAGACAGTGTTTCCTGCTGAGGAAGTCATGGACTAATTAAATCAGCCTGACATCTTCCTGTCAGCCTCTGAAAATTTCTACTTTCATCTTTGAAGTAGAAGCTGAATTAGTCTCTCCAGGTACATTTATTAACAAAAGGTGTAAGTGTCTAGCTCCAAGAGGACAGTCATAACTTTCTAAAGTCTTACGCAGTTCCTAACATACTCTGTCCTCTCTCTGTCTGCCAACCTCTCTGTCCCAACTCATCTCCTATGAATGTTTATTTATTTATATTTTGTAGTGTGTGTATGTGTGTGAGTGTATGTATGACCACTG